CCGCTGGGACGCCGGGGGAAGGGGGACACTAGTACAGCTATTAGGTCAGACCTGAGGGGCCACTGTGCTTTGGCAAAGCGCCTGTTGGTTAGCTGGCTTGCAGCGGTCGTCGGGATGTCAGAGAAGAGGGATACTGAATCAGTTGCTATATTATCTACCAGACTCCTCCGTCGCCCATCCACCTGAGCCCGGTTTCAAGACCGAAGGCGGGACTGTGCGCAGTGGTTGACCCGGTTAAACAGCCCGCCCACGTATGCACCCAGCGACACCACAGTGACTGGATCAGCGGAAGAACCCTGCAGTTTTCTGCTCAGGCAGCTCGAGCCAAGTGCCGTAGTTATGCTTTCTTCTGCCAACTCAGAAAGATGACTGCAAAGTCGGCTAGGGAGGACTGGAAGAAATACTGGGCTGAACTAGCTACCTCCATGGAGCAGGCCTCGAACGTTGGTGATATTCGAAAACTCTACCAACTGATTCGCAGAGTTAGTGGTAAGCACTCTTCACCGAGTGACTGAGTTCGTGGTATAAATTACGGCTTTATTGCTGACAGCTCGGCCAAGGTCGAGCGCTAGCATGAGCACTTCGAGCACCTGCTCAACTTCGACACCGATCCCAGCACCCCCTTGCTCCCATCTAAAGCGGAGTCTCCTCCCTCTTTTATTTATCCAATGTCATGCGACACGCCTTCTGGAGGAGAAGTCGCTCACGCCATACAAAGGCTGCGCAAAAATAAGGCACTTGGAGAGGATGATATACCCACTGAAGTCTGCAGATCTTAAGCCGACACTCTGGAACCTTGGCTCCATGAGGTGATTGGACAAGTGTGGAGAGACGAAGCCGTTCCTGATGGCTGGGGCTCAAACATCCTTGTAGCTGTCAACAGGAAGGGAGATAAAGCGAGATGCGAGAACTACCACAGCATAAGTCTTATCGACTTCGCTGCTGTTCTTCTCAGGCGATTCTAGTTCGCGTGTGACTCTAGAACGTGGCCCAACCGAGTCGGATTCCGTGGTGGGCGTGGACCAGATATTCACAGTGAGACACCTCCTTGAATTCTGCCGAAGCTTCTAACAGCCAACGGCTGTCTGCTTTGTCGACTTTGTCGGTGCGTTCGATTCCGTCCATAGTAAATCCCTATGGCGAATAATGGCGCTAGACAATGTACCACCAAAATCATTGCCATGATCAAGGCTTTCTACCGCTCCACTACTGCGCAGATTCTGGACCATTGCGACCTTTCAGAATCGTTCGCTATTCGGTCTGACGTTCGACAAGGCTGTGCCCTGTCGTCCATTCTATATAACTACGCCATTTACTGTATTCTCGGAAAGATCCTATGTGAAGAGGACGGTGTCGAGCTTGCATCTGGACGTCAATTGACTGATCTCGAGTATGCCGATAATATAGTTTTACTAGCATCAAGCTTTGGCGATCTACAATATATGGTGTCATGGGTGAAAGAGATCGCTAAATCGGTCGGTTCTTCTATGAAAGCTGGGAAGCCCAAAGTGTTTTCATGCTGCCTCCGAGCCCAAAAGAAGGCACCTCTCGAGATTAATAACTGCTAACTTAAAGAAGTAGACAGCTCCAAAGGCCTTGGAGCGAGTTTACTGCTGAATGGACAGAGTAAGGATGACATTGTCTCCCAAATCGATGCAGCTGCTAGAGTTTTCTCGAACCTTGGGAAATGTCTGTGGACCCGACACGATATTTCTATTGCCACGAAGGTTCGCGCGTAGCGTGCATCAGTGCCGTCTGTCCTTCTCTATGGCTGTGAATACTGGGCTATCCGCGTGGAATATGGAAGAAAACTGGAGGTATTTGACTACTACAGCTTGGGGACCATCCTTCGAGTGCAAGAGATCGACTCCGTCTCGAATGAGACAGTCCGCACTCGCTGCGACAACATCGCAACGATATCGCAGGCCATCCGAGGAAGACGATTGATATGGTTTGGACACAGTCTTCGTCGTCAACCCCAAGAGCTTAGCGTTGCTACCCTCGACCCGAAACCGTTATCCAATTGGAGATGTCGAAGAGGGGTCAGCTCAAAACCTGACTCGACTTATTCGGTCAGGACATGAAAGGGGTTCTTGAACCTTCGGTATTCGGTCTCGGGCGCTGGCGAAGAGAATATAATGAGTTGGCGAGGTCTGCTGCCACGGATTTTCTGACGTGGAGAAGCAACATTCGGAACGGTATCGAGGCCGGCTAGATCAAATTCAAGAAAGTAAGTATGCCACCATGCTTGGTCGGAGAATAGTGAGTAAATAGGGAGGAAAAAGATGCGGGGACAAGACTTTTATTCGCCTGACGTTTCGACATCCGTCGCAGATTCTTCATCAGGCACATCAGCAGAAAGCAGTAGTAAAAACGGGTAATGCATGTACAGGAAGTTGCAGTAGTTATAGGATACAGCCATTACTGCACACTTATGACAACGGCAATTAACGATAATTGCCCCCTTAGGTGTTGCTTTTTTGATGACCGACATGCGGGCCCTGACCTGCTGACCTTGCATCACGCGTGACGAAATTGGACATGATGATCGCTCGGTCATCTGGTTTCCTGGTGTTGGCGTAAGACGACGCGGTAGCGTGTGTGACCCCCAAGTGGCGACTTGCTTTGGCCTAATTGAGCCTCAGCACCGAATATGGATTACGTAGGTCATTGCACTTGTGTAGGGACTGGGGGCCCGTGAACCATGACTGAAGTAAGTCTCGACCTACATGATTATCACCTCTTGCGA